TTTACAGTATATATTTTGTTTCCATTGAAAAGCTCTGAGCAAAGCCTTTTGCTGTTTAGTTTGCAGTCCATTAGGTGGGCAGATCCTGTTTGAAAGTACATAGGTAAAAAAATAATTATAATACCTGAATATAAAAATAAGTTAAAATGCTTGTAAAGAATAAAACCTCTGAAGTAATCAAAACACTAACAGGTGATTTAAGCAGGTAGTTCAATTATACTACAACAAAAAGAGGGTTTGAAAGGTTTTTCATCCTAAAAGGACATTGAATAATTGCAGGTGAGCAGTCTGGGAAGATAAAAATTGTCTAGAGAAGTTCAATCTCTTTGCTTGGAGAGCGTTTCCATATGTATAAATTGTCACCTGATGAGTTCTGAGAAAGTCTGTCAGTCTTATAAATGAAAGTCAGTGGTTGTAGGAGAATCGTACATGCAGCCCGTTTACGGGATGAACGATAGGCACTGTTTGCATTTTTGGGAAGTTCCCTGTAGCCAGGGTCCATTTGCAGGTTCCAATCAGTTCCACTGCCAGAGTTTTAAGGATGATCTGTGCCAGTTCTTTCCCAACGCAGCGCCGCACACCACCACCGAAAGGCACGTAGCTGAACCGAGATGATCGGCTTTCATCCCGCTCGGGGCCAAAGCGGTCCGGATCAAACAGCTCCGGACTTTGAAAGACCGGTGCAGTCTCATGCGTGTCCCGGATGCTGTACATGACGCTCCAACCTTTGGGGATTTGGTAGCCCTGTCAATAATAAAAGAAAAGCCAATCAGCGATTATATCTTACATTGATTTAATTGTTATAGATTTTTTGTTTAATAATACATTTAATGTCTCATCTGCACACACAGACTGAAAACAGCAGCGGTCAAGGGTCATTAGTAAGCAAACAGCAGGGGTTAAGGGTCATTAGTAAGCAACACTGTATATGTTGCTCCACAATTGTATACAAGGTAGAGAATAGTCAAGAATGCCTATGTAGATTTGACTGGAGACAGGACGATGCCCTTCAGCCATGATCGATGATCAGAAGGTCGCTGATTCAACTCCCCAAACCAACAACAAAAATGTGGATGAGCAACTCTCATTGACGAACCCCTCCCCCCTCCCCACCTAGCTACTCCCCATCAACTTATATGGCAGTCCACTGCCCCACGTGTGCTCACAAGTGTGATGGGAAAATTGCAGAGAACTAATTTCCCCTCTAGGGATTTATGGAAAACATTTTATTTTCTTAATTACTTATTTGAATAAATTGTGTTTTTCAGACATATATGTCTGAAAGATATGAGCATTCCATATAAGCATTCCACCTGGAATTTCTCTCTCATTTTCCACTGGACTTTGGTAACATAAGTCTGTGTTTGTGATCGCAAATACCAATCGGATTTATTAGTCATGTTGAAAAGTTCACACATACAGAAACACATACACTACATTAACAAAACTTAAATAGAAGTGACCCTTCAGTAATGTTACGCAATCCCTTGCAACATTATGCTAATGCTCAGTCTGCACTGCCACCGTATTGTGGTGCACTTATACTGATTTTTTATCCAGCTTTTTAGAGCTTTCTTTGTGTTTATGACTTAAGTAAATAAATACATTGTTCACAATGTCACATGGTTGCTGCTGTCAGAGAATAGAAAGAGAAACAAAAATTGGATGATAATGCTTTCACCATTTTGTGTTTGTGTGCCTGTTAGCAAAATATCTCATGATCGCTTGATTGTTTGTCAGTTCATCATCGTTTGTCAAAGTAAACAAGAGACAAAAGTATTTTCCTAACTTAGAATAAGACTTACATCGAGTTCAAATGTCTGCAGAGCTGTCCGGTAACCACCAGAGACTGGCGGCAGAAAGCGGAGCACCTCTTTGACAACGCGGCCGATGTACTGGAGCTGGCTCAGCTTGTCCAGGGTGAGGTACGGTATGTGAGACTTGGATTGTGGAAACTTATCGCCTGCATTCTGACTGCAGCTGTTCAGCAGGTGGGTCCTTTCTGTTTCATCGCCATCCTGCTCTTTTTCTACAGTGACACAAGATGTGTTGTGGCTCTGGTTTTGTGGACAGCTAAGGCCCTCTGCCTCTAGCTCTGCTCGGGCTTTCTCCACCACCACCGGGTGGCGAAGAAGCTGCAGAACCAGCGATGTGGAGGCACTGGCTGTGGTGGAGTGAGCAGCGAAGATGAGCTCCACGGCTGTTTCCTGGGAGATAAAAATCAGATAGGGAGACTTTAATTTTAATTTTTTCTAAACTGGTCCTTGAGACCAACTGCTCTGTACAATTATTTCCCTGCTTCAAAACACTTGATTTTATAGATGCCTTCATAGAAGTCAATGTAATTTATTTATTTGTAATAACAGTGTAGGAGTTGGACCCACATTGGTTATTAGCAATAGAAAACCTTAGACCATAATTGGTCATAGGTTGCCTTGATGACCAAAATAAATAGAAGTCAAGTTGATCTTGACCAAACACTGCATGATAACCCCTTTATCCCCCCCACCCCCAACCTGCATTACTTTTTACTACTATGGCTGGATACCAGTAAATTCAGTGTAAAGGCAGTTTGAGCTAAAATCCTCAATATTCTTAATACTTGCCAAAAGGTTTCTCCTGCTAATATCCTGAAGAAGCTACCTTACATCCTTCTCTATGCTCACCCTGGCATGACTGTTTCTGCATCAAGATGCAGCTACGCACTAGAGGATCATGTCACATTACTGCCACTGCTCTAGAACGTTTCCCTGGTCTTGTTACGGTTGTAATGTAGAAATGCACCTAAACCCCACCTCACTGATACATTGTAGCCCATTCTCATGCCCCCCCCCCCCCCCCCCCCCCCCCCCCCCCCCGCGCGCGTTAACATATTGACGCTTGACCAAGCATCAAAATGTTGACGTGCGGTCCATTTTGTAAGACATGAAGCAGAGGAGGATGAGTCTCTGAACACAGATCCTAAAGTTAACCAATAACCCTGATCCCTCATGTTAACCATTTTCCCAGACACTAAATTTAACCTATATTAGCTATGTATAGCCTATACCTGACCCCAGTCTCTCAAATTAACCATTATCCGTGACCACAGACCCTAAAGTTAACCATTAATCCTGATCCCTCATTTTAACCACAGACCCTAAATTTAACCATTAATCCTGATCCCTCATGTTAANAACCACAGACCCTAAATTTAACCATTAATCCTGATCCCTCATGTTAACCAGAGACCCTAAAGCTAACCATTAATCCTGATCCCTCATGTTAACCAGAGACCCTAAAGTTAACCGTTAATCCTGTGACGCAACCCGGAAAAGCCGCGGGCGGCAAGGACGGACCCCCGCGCGCGTCAATATGTTACAAGTCCAACATAAGAATGTGTTATACATTGTTATCACGCTCTATCAAGAAACCTAATTATGTTGCCAAAAAACATACGTTAGGTGAATTTGCAGCTCTAAATTGTCACTAAGTGTGAGTGTAAACAGTCTGTCTTTATTCAGAGATTTGTTTCTGTGTGGCCCTGTGATAAAACTGTGACCTGCTTAGTGTGTATGTTATCAGATCTCAAGTCTTAAAATATGCAAACGTTTAAAATGTGCAATGCAGTGAATCCCAAAGACCAGAATTGGAAAACAAATGGAATTGAACTTTATTTGCTAAACTAAGTGGGTGTTGAATAACTTCAACAGATGTTGGATATATAGGTTTTCGAAATACCGGTGACAAGTGTTGATCTACAGTATAGTGGGAATGCTTTCAACAGTACAAAGTCTCTGAAATTCTTTCCAAATACTTGAGACTTAACTTAAATTGTGTATCAGTTGAAACATTAAAGGCATCTGCTTTTAGATCTCCAACATGAGTATATAGATTTGAGATACATCTTCAGATCTGAGTAAATGTTTGGCTCGAGTTTTGGTTTGATCTAATGTGTTAGGTTAGATTGACACAACACATGATCAAAACCCACAGCAGTCCTGTTTTTAACCCATGTTGACCAGTTTAGAATGAACTTCTAAGTGCTCAGATATGCCTGTTTCTGCTGAGAACACTATCCACACAGTAAAACATGGCAGTGGCAGCATCATGATATTGAGACATTATTTTATCTGCAAAGACGGGTAAGCTTGGATTTAAGATGTGGACCTTTTTTTTAAGAAATCTTATTGGAATTTTCTAGAATTTGTTAAGACTGTCAGCAGGACAAGGACCCTAAACAAATTTCTGGAGCAACACTCCAGTCCTTTAACAAGTAAATGTCCTGAAAGACCCAGTCAATGCCCAGACTTCAAACCAACTGTTTCCAAAGCAAAATGATTTTTTGGTTTTATCCCATGTGTTAGACTACAACATCACATGACCTGAACATTTATATATATTATGTTATTGTTCTACTTTTTATCTAGTTTTGGGAAACTTGGCCACATTTTTTTTGTTTGTTTTTCATGCTTTTAGTTTGATCTTACTTTAATCTACACAATAACCAAATATATAATATAAAATATGTTTATTTGTCAAACTGTTAAAAACTACCTCATCAATCAATGGATTTATAAAACTATTAAAGTAATCACTGGATGTGCATCAACAACTGGAGAACATTTGGGTTCAACCTGTTCCAAGATGAAAGCCACAGCTAACCTACTGTAGCAAATACAAAAACTTAGTATTTCAACTAAAATTTGATGTAGTGCTGGCTGAGTGTCAAATCCAACACATGATTTGAACATTAACAGATTGTGTGGGATTTTAGTTTGAAACTTTGATGTGAAGTTTGGTACCTTGAGCTCCTGGGTGCTGAGCTGCTGGCCGTGTTCCTTGGCACTGGACAGCATGTAGTCAAAAGCATCATGATGTTCATATTCCGCCTGCTGCCTCGCCATTTTTTCCTCAATGATCTTCTCCATGTTGGCATGCAAGATTTCTCTGGCTTTTATCCCCTGGACATACAAGAATGCACATTGTATTCTTAATGTCTTTGTGTTGATATAACATTTATAATGCAACATCTGGAGAGGGTTTTGTACCTTTCGCAGCCCGCTCAGCGGAGCGTCGATGGGGAGCGAGAACAAATTGTTCATCAGCTGCTCAAAAATCTTAGCCAGGTAAACGATTCGCTCTTCTTCCAACTGCAAATCCATCAGGACGCTGACTGCAATGCGAAATGTCAGGGACTTGGCTGAGCTGTACACATCAACTGGGCCCGGCTCAGAGCACCATTTTGCTACTTCAGACTTGATGATTTCCTGCAGGCGGGGCAGGTAGGACTCCAGAGCCCCCCGGCTAAACACTTTGGCCAGGATCTTAAAAGTGAATGAGCAAACAAAAAAAAGAGAAGTCATAAAACATTATTATCTGGCAGCCAATAAAGAGTTGAGTGGGTGGATTCAAGCATGGTTAGATGAAGCTTGTTTTAGTTTGTTGTCAGTCCTGGATCTTACTTTTCTCTTCTTCTTGTGCAGTTCTCCAATAGAGTTGACCAGGGTGTTGGGTCCCAGGATTATGCAGGTGCTTTGAGGCCACTGTGTACACACCAGGCTATGCTCACCCAGCAGGATCTTCCGAATGTTTTCTGCCCCTGTGACCCGGATGACAGGTTTTCCCAGAAGGTGGGTCTTAAACACGTTTCCATGACGTTCTCGACGCGAGATGTGGAAGTTGGAACCCTGCGGTGGGGTAAAGGAAGTTTCGGATAAATAAACTATAAAACTGAGAAGTGGTGTGAGCATAAGTTTTCACCCCGGTTTCCAGTGGTGGGCACAGTTCCCCCAAAGCATTAAAGCACTAATAGGGAAAATAATTTACTGATTAGTGCTTTAGGGCTTCTGCTAATTTTAAAATGCATTAGTGGATTAGCATTTGCTAAATTTAAAGGCTAAATTTAGAAGCACTAACTGATGTCTATAAATGTTATTGATCAACATTAATGTTACCAGCTGACAGTGAAAGCTGTCACACATTTTGTTTGTATGTGTGTCACTTATCCACTAGGTGACAATATACAGTATGAACCCAAATACAGCTGTGGAACATCAATGATAGGTCTAAAGAGAGCAACATGGCAATATATGACTCATGTTGTCTGTTGAAGAATGTTCATGTTGACTGGGTTCTTTTAGTGCTTTAGAGTTAGCTTTTGCTAAAACTTTCAGTGCATTAGTGCTTTAGAGTTAGCTTTTGCTAAAACTTTCAGTGCATTAGTGCTTTAGATTTAGGGGACCTAAATATTTGAGTTAGTGTTTAGGGCTAGTGGAACCAATTTTTGGATTAGTGCTGCCCACCACTGTCTGGTTCATTAAAAAATTTTAGAAGTCACAATTTCAATAAATTTTCTACACTTTTCAAAGGCAAAGTTGGAGAAAAATAGAAATCAAAGTTAAAGAGTAAAAAGAAAGATTTCAAACCTTGAATGACATATACAATTAAATCTCATTTCAGATTCAGAGCATTGGTTTAAGGAATGCATATTACTAGTCTGGCCCTTCCTTCCTAACAGTTCCACTCAATTTTAGTTTCCCTTCACTGCTCTGCCTGGGATTTCTCCCATAGACAAATATTTCTTTGGTAGAATTTCAACCAGACCAATCAGTGAACAGAGGGAGGAGTTCAAATGTGAACGATGACATCGATTTTCTGCTCTGTTTTAGTCTGCCTGTCATTTAGCAAGGGCAGCAGAGGAAATGAATGAAGTCAGTCCGTGTTGATAAGGCTTCCAAATTAAAATAAATTTGTCTGACAAAGCAGCAGCTCTCATTTACAGTCGTCTCATTCGGCTCGGTTCTTCTCTCCTCTCAGTAGGGTTGTTTACAGTGCTCGCGATTTCCAGTTAGCTTCTTAGCTTAGCCTCCTTCACAGCGACAACAGACACACTTCAGCAGAGGCCACGCCTCCAGCAGGAATCACTTCTCCACGACCGCGAGTCCAGACCCTCGAATGAAGGAAAGTGAAGGACAGGGTCTGGTTTTTACCAGGCTAGCTCTGATTGCACAGCAACTTCAGGATTGATCCATGCCAATATTTGCAGCATCCACAAACTGTTCACACGGTAGTCTGATGACAGTTGTCTTTAAATTAGAATGTCAGTGACCGCACATAAAAAATAGGAGCTGAGCAAACATCTGAAATGAGCATTAGAACATGCAATGTAAACCAAGCCTAAAGGCTGATTTATTCTTCCATTCTTACAACTCGCTTACAGTTTTAAGCGACAAAAATTTGTCGGTGTGTTTTTTTATGCAGAGTGGTGAGTGCTTCTGCATTTTGCTGAATATGGTTTGCTCCTTGAGGCCAGTTGTTGAATTAGAAAGATGGGCAGCTTCGAGGAGCATATTGGCTGGTTCTATTGAGACGTGAACATGCCATCAAAGTCCATGTCTACTTTTTTTTTATCTCCACTCTTAACCTAAAATAAAGAGTTTTTCCTTCGACTCCTCATCAAACAAGCCTTTCTTTAATTTCTGTTTTCATTGGGTAAAAATCCTGTCTTTTTTATCCTGCTATCACTGTTGTGATTTATATGCTTAGATATGTGCAACATATGCTACTCTGTGGGAAGTTTTATAATTACTGACATTTACACTACGAGAGGAGAAAGACATTCAAAAAGACATAATCACTGATCTACTATCTCACATCTTGTTGATGTATGCATCAGGTTTAAGACCATTTTACACAAAAAAGACTATTTTATATTGTATGTTGTATGTTTGTTTGTTGCAACACTTAGATAGTGCTGAAATGTGACTGCCTTCTGGGACTTATAAATTAAATGTTAGTATATTGCACAGTCATTAATTTATGCAGTGTGTTATTTTATTACTTAGTATATTATGCAGATTACTTAGTTACACTTAAACCAGTTAGACAGTCATCAGTGATTATTAATATGAAACTGGGAACCCAAAGGTTAATAAACAGAAAGTATGCTGTGATGTCTTAGATTATTCTACCTTTTCACCTATTTATATTTATACTGCCTATTTGTGTAATGACATACTGCCTGTCTTTTTTATTTGCTTGTATCATTTTTTAAATCATGTAAAGCACTTCGCATTGCCTTACTGCTGAAAAGTGCTACAGCATATAAATACATTTTACCTCACTTATACCTTACGTTATGCTTAGAAATGAAATGGTTCAGTTACATTCTTGAAAATATTGTTACAGGCAAACTGTTGATATTGTGTGATTTGGTAGTGTTCAAAGTATTACAGTTGCTTTATATAGACAATCGTGTGCTTGCTAAAACGGATTAGCTACGGTGGCAATCCTTAACTGGGTGAAGTTAGTCAGCTGTAGATCATCTAAGGAATATTTTTCAGAAAGTTTCATTCAAATCCTCAGTTAATGAGATATTTTGCTAAAATGCTGATAAAGACATGAATTCAAAGGCATTCCCCCCACCTTTCATGGTGGTGAGTGAATAAAATGGAAAAATAATGCCACCACAGCAAACCTGCCAACGGCAGGTTGTCCATCATAGACAGACCAGGTAAGGAGGGCAATTGTCACAAAACAAAACAAAACACAACAACCAGATGACAAAGATAACCCTGAGAGCTGGCAGCTCGTCTGCAGAGATGGGAGGACCTGACCACTATAAACTGGGCTGCATGAAGTGTGGCAGGAAAAAGACACTGACTGAGTTTCTCAACTCCAATGACTCCAAAGCCCATGTGAAAGAATGTGCTAAAACAGAAACGTTATAATATAAAGGACAGCATGTGTGGTTCCACCCTAACACCACTCACACTCAAAGATATCTACAGTCAAGCAGGGTGGTGGCAGCATCATGATGTGGGATGTGTTTTTTTTTTGTCTTTGTTTTTTGTATCAACAGGGTTTGAAACGTTACTGTAAAAGAATACTGGGGGGGGGGGGGGGTTCAGAATGTTTTTCAAATTTACATTAATTTTAGTTTAGTTTACAACAACTTCTATAATTCATCTTTAAAGGCAGTTGTGTAAAATAAAACAGGCAATCCATTTGAAAGTCCTTTTAAATTCCAGGTTTTAAGCCATCAGAACAGACAAAATATTAAGGGGTGAACACTTGTGCAACTTCTTCAAATGTTTTTTTTTTCACGTTTTAAGAGAATTTTATTTTATTTTAAGATGCTTTTATTGTGGTTTCCTCACATGTTACTTATTGGTCTTTCAGAAGTTTTGGCGCCTTTCTTTCATAATAAAACATTTAGAGCGCACTTCAGGACATACTGTATGTCCATCTTAATAAATATTTTTATTTAACTCTACTAACAACATTAATTCAATCCACTGCTCTGACGAGGAAAAAGAGAGGATGTTAAATGAGGAAGAACTGCTGCCTTAAGCTTTAAAAAAGAAGAGGATCAAACAGAATTTTTGTCCTTTTTCATGAGGATTTGTAAAGTTTCAGTTGAGAGGACAGAATAGATGGAGAGCTGGAAAGAAAGGCAGCAGGATGAAGGGATTTCACCCGGAAAGAGGAAGGAGCATCAAGTCCACACATGTTGTGGGACCAGAACTCAGCCTGGACAAGAATCTGCAAGAACTTGTGGGAACTTCTCGTGTCTCCAGAATAATTACAAACATCCTAAAACGGTTTGTTCAATTTTTTTTCCTGCAGATATAAAATACAGAATGAGAAAAGTTCTTGTTCTGACCTGGAAGAGCCAGTGGAAGGTCTCCCCGACCAGCGGCCAGCCCATGGAGCCGTTCGGCAGCGGCAGCTTGCTCTCCTTGTCCCGGGTCAGGGTCCAGCGGAGACTCCACAGCTGCCGGGTCAGAACCAGCAGCAGGAGCGCAGAGAGGAGCGATGTGAGCGCGGTGGCCAGAGCCGACAGCACCCCAAACTGGGCCAGGTGGAACATGTCCTGGTCCGGTTCTCAGCATCCACTTGCGCGTAAAACTTTTCCGAGCGCCTTTCTCTCTCTCTCTTTCTTTGTAAATTATAATAAAATATATATACATATATAAATATATATATAAAATAACAACAATCAGAAACAATAACAATATAAAAATGCGTTTGATCATTTCGTGTAAAACTTTTATCAAATGAAGCAACAAGTTATTTTTAAACGGTTTTCTGGTGCCGCTCGGTGCGTCAAAGACCATTATCCGAATTGATCCAAACACGCGCAGCCTCTTGTTGTCCTGAATGTTCTGCTGTTTTTAATAAACCAACATAGGTGTTTGTTTGTTTGTTTATTTATTTGTTAATTGGAGGCAACCACCCACTCTCCTCCTCACACAGATTTTAGCCCGGACTGAGGAAACTCCCCAACATGAGGACAAGCTGTCAACTATTCCAAATAGTTTTACAGGTCTGCGTGCGCCGTCTTGTCTATGAAGTTCTGCACCTTTATGGGTACAGTTGGGGGGCTCAGAAAGACCCCCCCCCCCACCACCACCACCACCACCACTAAAGGTAATAAATCTTGGTTAAAGACAAAACGGTTCAGATACATGTTAGATTTACAGGCAAAAACAATATTCAAACAGAGAACATGAGTTTTCTAAGAAACTTGTTGGAAATCCAGCCTGAGGCGGACCCACCTTCAGCAGCGGAGCCGCAGATCCTTTGGCTTTTGAAGAGAACTTGTTTCCTTCTCCGGTGAGTTTTCCCGCACAGAGCGCGAGCTGCTGCTGCGACTTTTATAGACCTCGGTTCGGTTCGGTCCACCTTCAGAAGATGACGTGAGCCCAGACTCGTTCCGTCAGAGCGCGGAGCCAAACGAGGGGCACAAGATCCGCGCGGAGACGCAACTCGCTGCGTCCTGAGGGCGCGCGCATGTGTGTGTGTGTGTGTGTGTGTGTGTGTGTGTGTGTGTGTGTG